CCTGGTGTGAAGTCCTGCTTCTCTGCCGCTTACTCCTGCCCGAACTCAATACGCACCCAGCTCTGTCGGCAGCACGCTGCTCCCCTGGCATTTCTAATATTAGAACCGGGAGCACCGCTTCTGCCACCACTTGTTATTTTCCACCAGATGCTCCTGCCACCTCCGCTTGGACTGTGCTCGGTCCGGGGTCTCCTGGGAGGAGTCTGCTTCTCCCCTCGGTGAGAGGAAGGTACAGCTCAGGGGGGTCCTCAGGATCCAGTGCCCCCCTCCAGGGAAGAGCCACACACAGACTCTCAGGAAGAAACATCGCCTCCTTGTGGTCGTTCAGGATACTGCCACTGAACAGTGCAGATACCTATTCTGAACCACAGGCACAGAGGAGGACTCCAAGGCTTATTCTGCACCTGCCCTCCAAACCAAGCGCATGGGTCCGAGCCAAGAGTTTCTTACCTCTGTGCGATGGTACACGGAAAATGCACCCACAGGGTGTTTTTCCTCACCTGGCACCAGAGAGCACAGCCCCTGCTCACAGGAGGGACCTCAGCAGCAATGACCATGCCGGGCGAGAAGGTGTGTGCAGTGCCTGCATCTCCACAGCTCGCAAAGGACATGCAAAGGGGGCCGTAAGAGCGCCTGAAACTCAAGCACCGAAGCCCCCACCTGTGTCGCCACCAGTTCAACAGGCAGCAGACGCTGTCGGCTTCTGCTACTGGCCTGCAGGGCCTTCGCTTCAGGGACAGGGACAAAGGCGATTTGCTTCAGGCTCGGGAGTCACAGAATCCACCCCTGACATAGATCTTGCGAAAGAGGGCTGGAGACAATATGATCTTACACGGAAATGGTCCCCTGGGTGCTGGGATCAACCAAGGAGAATAGGAAATGAGAAAAAAACCGGAAACCCCCGCTCTGCGGCATCACAGAGGTCCTGATGTTGAACTGGAGCCCAGGGGTCCTGTCCAGGGACAGGCGACGGGTCTCAGGGCGGTCTGTGACAACTGCTCGGCACAATGGCCATTTCCCAAGCTTTCAATTACCATGAAGGAACGTATATTTAGAACGACACGCAGATTAGAAGTGGGAAGAGGAAATACCACGGTTCCCGATATTCCCTAAAATAGACCATGCGCACATTCTTCCTGTGAGGAAAGGGACCTGCAGGAGGTACGGAGATGTGCTCATCGGTCTGTCATCAGCCCCAGAGGACTGAAACCTGCGGCTCGGAAAAAGGGCCGCTTTGAGAACTCAGTGCTTAACCAAACCACCAGCCCGCCGACATCCAGGTGAAGCTTCTGAGCAAACGACAGAAACCGCTACAATGTCCTAGAAAATTAGATACATTTTTAAGGCTTCATACTTCAGAGACTAGTGACCAATGCAACGGACTTAGAGCAATCATTGGAGAGGCTGCATTCACAGAGTAACAGACTTGGGAAAGGCCAGGGCCAAGGCGAAACACAAAGAAAAAAAAGACTTCCAAACCTAACATTCTGAGCAAAACTCACCGATTCCTAATTATTTCAACAAATGCTCACAGCCGGCTGTGGCCGAGGCTGTGGCCGAGGCTGTGGCCGTGCGTGGGAAGCAACCGGGACCCAGCAGGTGTGTGCCTACCTGCCGGGAGCTCCCAGCCGCTGGAGAAACCCCACCACTCAAGGTCTCTCTTCCAGTCCTGGAACATTCCCTGACATATGCACACGCACAGGGCCCCGTTCCCAGAGCCTGCTGTCTCCTGCCTGCCACTCTTCCCTTCACCATAAACTCCAGCCACACACACACACACACACACACACACACACACACACGGGCTGGCTGCCTCGGGTCCTCTGGGAGGCAGTGGGGCCCCAGGGCCTTTGCATGTGCTGTTCCCGCTGCCTGAGCTGCTCTCCCTCCAGATCTCCCAGGAAACACCTCTTCCTGTCCTTCAACTCCTGGCTCACATCTCTCCATCTCTGGGGGCCTGGAGAGGCACTCAATCTCGGCCAGTGGTCGGCAAACTCATTCGTCAACAGAGCCAAATATCAACAGTACGACGATTGAAATTTCTTTTGAGAGCTAAAAACTGGCTTCTGCGCATAGGCCACGAAGTTTAAATCGCACCGTATGTGCGCGCCCACACGCGGTATTTTGTGGAAGATCCGCACTCAAAGGGCCAAAGAGCCGCATGTGGCTCGCGAGCTGCAGCTTACCGACCACTGATCTAAACCAGCAGTGCACCACCACCATCACCACCCCTCTATCGCAGCAACCCCGCTTTTATTACTTTTCCAGTACTGATCGCTATTTGATAGTGTCTTCTTTACAATCTCTCTTGCTTTTTATCCCCCGCCCCCAAGTGTGAACCCATCGTGGGGCCTCTGGGCCCTGTGCACTGCTTTATTCTTACTCCCTAAATCCCTGCCTGAGACAGCGTAACCAACGGAATCCTTCCATGTCTTTGGAAGAGCTAACATAAACAATATTAGCAGAGTTGTACTGCCATGACAGGCACTAAAGAACAAAGGGGAAAGACTACACCTTACACGCTAAGAGGTTTGTTTGATCAGTTAAAACAAAGAAAGGTCATGACTGCTTGCCCTGGTCTTCAAAACATTCTCAAAAAACGAGCATAATGGAACTATAAAGCTCACCACTGGCTAATATTCAAACATTATCATGGACCAGGCTCCATTCCTAGCATCAGCACTGCTTCCACGATTTCTGTTCTGAAAGCACTGTGAGACCTTATTTTTTTATTTAAAAGAGCCAAATATTTTCTAAAAGCTTCCTCTGCTTTCAGACGTATTCATAACCTCCTCCCAAACTGTACAATCCGTGACCCTCCTGGAGCAGCACTCCAATATAAGATATAGGGATTTAGTGCCCGCTGGCAAACAAATTTTATAGAACACAAACTATCCTCACGCTTGATAGAATAAAAAATATATATATTTAAACCCTGAAGAATGTTTCTTCCAGATTAGTCTTAAAACTGGCCATCTGCTCTTTTACTCCTCATGTGGAAGAGCTAAGGCGTTAATCAAGGAATACGGCTTTAGTTACTGACCATGATCATTTCGCCACAAAGATACCAAAGGCCCTCCCGGACCACTCTGAAATTATATCAAATCAAAAGGTGCGCATCGGCGTGAAGGGGCGGTTGTTTCCTGGAATGTTCTGCAAAGAGGTAAACTGCTTCTGTGGGCCTCTGGAAATCATTGAAATCCACTTAAAAACCTCAAGAGCTAATGTTTCCCCGTTTCAGAGCAAAACATCAGAAACAACCTACACGAATCTCGATAGAGAGGAGGTTAAATCAATTACGGTTTCTCCCTAATGGAGTCCTCGGCAGCTGTCAGGGCGTGAGCCGGCGCTCTCAGGTCCTGACAGGGAGCCGGCCAAGATTCAGGGCTCCGCGGGGAGGGCAGGGAGCGAGACAAATACAAAGGACACACACTGACGGTTCAGACTAGCCCGGGCTACCTCTGCAAAGACATGAGCCGGCAGCTGGTGACCCTGCTTCCTGGGTGGGGGAGCAGGGTGCAGAGGGTTCCATACTTTCTATTCTGTACCTTTCCATACCGGCTGACCCTCCTACAGGGTGCACAGCTCCTGTGCCTGTCCCACAGATCAGCGGGGTAATTTTAAATAGGACAGTAGCTTGTGTTATTGCCAACGTATTATCCAGGACGGCCAGCAGAAAGCAAAAGCGGTCCAAGTCACAACCGCGGTGTCGCCGATCCTGATCCCCAGATGGGAGCCCAGGTCCCCGCTAACGAGGCAGGCAGGCGCGTGACCTCACCTGTCACAGAGCACACACGGTCCCGTTCCTCCTAAAAGACATGCCTCCTATTTACACGGAGCAGGTAAAAGCGTCCACACGGACACAGCTTCCACCTGGCCCTACAGCAGCCAGTCCAAGGGTGACGCAGGCGGAGGGCCAGTCTGGTGCCGGTGAAAACCCACTACAGTGAGGTCTGCCAGGCTGGGACAAGGAATCCTCTGACATCAGTGAACCATGATTTCAGATCTGTGGCAAAATAGTCACGTACCGGGAGAGGGGCACGCACCATTTGCAGAAAATAAGGCTTTTAAAAGCTGCCATTTGTGGGGGTGAGGGCGGGGTTCGCTTTACATTTAGGTTAAGAAATCACGTGGATAGCCCTGACGGGTACTAGGATGCCGCATTCATGTCCCTTCGAGCAACTGCTTTAACGCAAAGATAAACCTGGAACTGAAAACAGAACGAAGAGGAAGGCACACTTGAACAAACTTTGCTGCTAAATGTAATCTTAAAAGAACACATAAAAAGAAATGCAAAAAAAAATTAAAGAAACAAACCCACCATTTCTCCACAAACACCACTCACAACAGTAGCCCATTAGATCAATATTTGGCTGTATGAAACACGCCCACACAGAAAGGAACACACAGATACCCAACTGCATAAAAAGGCGCTCATGCATTCCCGGCGGCGGGAGGTGAGGACCAGAAAGAGCCGCCTTATTCAGAGGCACAGTCCCCACCGCACGCGGGGCTCTGTCCCTGCGCGACAGACACCACACACACCGGCAGCCTAACTGTCATCGCCACCACTTTTACTTTGGCTCTCATCCCTTTGGCGCCTTGGGATAGACAGAAAGCCTGTGCAGATACAGACTGCAAATCAAAGAAAAACAAGCATTCAGCCTCCCTCCCATCCCCCAAGCTGGCCTCCGGCCTCGGAACTTGCTGCCCTTCGCGGGGCACAAGTTCGCAGCCGCCCTCGGAGCCTGCGCCCTCGGGGAGCCGAGCGGCCAAGGGCGCGCGGACAGCGGCGGGCTCGGAGCGCCCCCTCCCCCACCCCGTCCCCCAGCTCCGCTCCGAGGCTCCCCGGACCCCGAGCCCGGAGCCCGCAGCCCGCCCGGCGCTGCCCGCCACCCGCCACCCTGCCCGGGCCGCGGGGGGCGCCCCGGCGATGCGCCCCCGGCGCCGCCTCCGGGCTCCGCGCGCCCCCCGCCCGCGCCCGCCCGCCCGGCACCCACCGGCCGCTCCCGCGCCGCTAGCTCGCCATCGCCCGCCGGCCGCTCGGCTGCCCGGAGTCCGCAGTCCCGGGGCTGGCGGAGGCGAGGAGGAGGAGGAGGAGGAGGAGGAGGAGGGCCGGGCACTGCCAGCCGCCCAGCCTGGCCTCTGGGTGCCCAGCGCGCACTGCTGGCCGCGGCCACGGGCGAGGGGCGCCCGCTGCCCTCTGCGCGCCCGGAGCCGCCGCCGCCGCCAGAGCAACGGGCCACGGCCACGGCCACGGCCACGACGGGGACGCTCCGGCCGGGACTGCGGCGCGCGGGGGCGGGGCCTGCGGCCGCCCGGCTGGGGGCGCCCTCCGGCCCCGCCCGCGCCCCGCCCCGCCCGCGCCCCCGCCGGAAGCTGCCCGCGCGCCCCCGCCGCGCGCCCCCGCTCCCGTCCCGCCGCGGCCGCGCGCCCCGGGCTCCCCGCTAGGCCGCCCGGGACCGGCGGGGGCGCCGCGGAGAGGCCGCTCCTCGGTCCCCAGGCCGATCCGGGTCCCCAGGCCGGGCCCGGAAGGTCCTGGGAGGGCCCCGGAGATCGGGGCGGCCGCGCCGTGCGGAGCCTCACGCCAGGCCGGCCGGACGCGCGCAGGCCCTGCGGGAAGGACAGGGGCTCCCCAAAGGGCTTAAGGGCGCTGCACACGGTGCGCGGCAGAGAGCACCGCGGGGCCTGGCGTGAGCTCCCCCTGCAAATGCACCGAAAACCGGCCTCCGCGCCCCGGCTCGGATGTTAGGCTTTAGCTACGACACCCCCAAGGCCGGGCGCCGCGCCCGGGGGCCGCCTTCCTCCTCCCCGCGCCGGGCCGCTCAGCCTCGGGGGCAGGACCCGCGGGGCCCGCTAAGAACATCCCGGAGCCATCTGGGCTTGCCTCCGAGGCGTGGTGGGCTTGTTTGCGCGGCGAAGAAAAGGCTCCCCTAACGGGGTGCGAGTTTCCCTCCCTGCATTGTTCCCGTTTCCGCAGTTTCACTTGGCCTCGGTTTTCTCCTCCCGGAGCAAATGCACCAAATGGAATTAGCCGGAGAGCGTTCGGCGGCGCCGGATCCGGCGTGAAGATGTTTACGCTCCGAGCCGGACGCGTTTGATGATGTTCTCTCCGCGTTTGATGGTGTTCTCTGGGGCGCAATTAACCCCGCGGAGCTCAGAAACGTGCCAGCCCAGGGCCCTGCAGCCGCACCTTGCGAGCCCAGCTTGTGCGTTGCATTTGCTGTTTGTTCAAGGCGCCAGCGTGCTTCATGGAGACCACTGGATGGAATCATAAGGATATTTCTAAATGGGCAAAATGAAGCATATTTTCAGCAATAACCTTTCCCTGTTGATGATGGAACTAAAATGGGCCAAAGAATACACCTGCCAGGGCGTTGCTTACTAAGCAGGCTCCCTAGAAGAAAATGTTTCACCCTAACACATGGTCCATGCCAGTGTCCGGATGAGCTCCATCCAGTTGCAAATTTAGAACACCAAAACCAGCCGCTCTGTCACCTGTGCCTTCTTTGTTTGTTGCCAGAGGGAAAGGGGCGGTGGGGAGGAGGCATTAAAGGGGGAAAGGGGGTCAAATATATGGTTATGGAAGGAGTTTGTGTGTGTTTTTTTAATATATTTGTATTGATTATTTTACAGAGAGGAAGAGAGAGGGATAACCAGAAAACATCGATGAGAGAGAATAATCGACCAGCTGCCTCTTGCACACCCTCTACTGGGGCTGTGCCCTCAACCAAGGTACATATCCCTGACCAGAATCGACCCCCAGGACCCTTCAGTCCGCAGGCCAATGCATAATCCACTGAGCTACACCAGTTTCGGCCGGAAGGAGTTTTGATTTTCGATGGTGAACACACAATGCAATGTACAGATGATGTGTCAGAACTGCACACATGAAGCATATATAATTGTGCTAACCAATGCCACCCCAGTAGATTTAATAAAACTCGAAGAAAAACTAAATGTTTCTGAGGAATCCAGTGAAGAAATAAAATGGAGTCGCTGGAGTCAAGCTGCTGAAATTACTAAAATCAAGTAGGCTGAGGCAGAGGAGATCACACCTGTCATGAACGTTCTGGAAATGAAAGGCTTTGAATGGACCCTTCTCTCCCCCTTCTCTCCCCCCCCCTTCTCTCCCCCCCCCTTCTCTCCCCCCCCCTTCTCCCCCCCCCCCCTTCTCTCCCCCCCCCTTCTCCCCCCCCCCTTCTTCTCCCCCCCCCCCTTCTCTCCCCCCCCCTTCCTCCCCCCCCTTCTCTCCCCCACCCTTCTCTCCCCCCCCCTTCTCTCCCCCCCCCTTCTCTCCCCCCCCTCTCTTCCCACCCCCCTTCTCTCCACCCCCTTCTCTCCCCCCCTCTCTCTCTCCCCCCCCCTTCTCTCCCCCCCCCTTCTCTCCCCCCCCTCCTCCCCCCCCCCCTTCTCTCCCCCCCTTCTCTCCCCCCCCCTCTCTCCCCTCTCTCCCCCCCCTTCTCTCCCCCCCCTTCTCTCCCCCCTTCTCTCCCCCCCCCTTCTCTCCCCCCCCCTCCTCCTCCCCCCCCCGTCTCTCCCCCCACCTTCTCGCTCCCCCCCCCTTCTCTCCCCCCCCTTCTCTCCCCCCCCCCCCCCTTCTCTCCCCCCCCCTCTCTCCCCCCCCCTTCTCTCCCCCCCCCGTCTCGTCTCCCCCCCCCTTCTCTCCCCACCCCTTCTCTCCCCCCCCCTTCTCTCCTCCCCACCCCCTCTCTCCACCCCCCCTTACTCTCCCCCCCCCTTCTCTCCCCCCCCCCTTCTCTCCCCCCCCCTTCTCTCCCCCCTCCCCCCCCCCTTCCTCCCCCCCCCCTTCTCTCCCCCCCCTCCCCTCTCTCCCCCCCCCTTCTCTCCCCCCCCCCCTTCTCTCCCCCCCCCCTTCTCTCCCCCCCCCTTCTCTCCCCCCCCCTTCTCTCCCCCCCCCTTCTCTCTCTCCCCCCCCCCTTCTCTCCCACCCCCTTCTCTCCCCCCCCCTTCTCTCCCCCCCCCCTTCTCTCTCTCCCCCCCCCTTCTCTCCCCCCCCTTCTCTCCCCCCCCCCTTCTCTCCCCCCCCCTTCTCTCCCCCCCCCTTCTCTCCCCCCCCTTCTCTCCCCCCCCTTCTACCCCCCCCCCCCCCCTCCCCCCCCCCCTTCTCTCCCCCCCCCCCTTCTCTCCCCCCCCCTTCTCTCCCCCCCACCCCCTCTCCCTTCCCCTCCCCCCCTTCTCTCCCCCCCCCTTTCTCTCCCCCCCCCCTTCTCTCCCCCCCCCTGCTCTCTCCCCCCCCACCTCCCTCCCTTCTCTCCCCCCCCCCTTCTTCTCCCCCCCCTTCTCTCCCCCCCCCTTCTCTCCTCCCCTCCCACCCCCTTCTCTCCCCCCCCCTTCCTCTCCCCCCTCCCTTCTCTCCCCCCCCCTTCTCTCCCCCCCACTCTCTCACCCCCCACCTGCTCTCTCTCTCTCTCCCACCCCTTCTCCTCCCCCCTCTCCCCCCCCCTTCTCTCACCCCCCCTTCTCTCCCCCCCCTTCTCTCCTCCCCCCCCTTCCTCTCCCCCCCCTCCTCCCCCCCCTTCTCTCCCCCCCCCCTTCTCTCCACCCCCCTTTCTCTCCCCCCCCTTCTCTCCCCCCCCCTTCTCTCCCCCCCTTCTCTCCCCCCCCCTTCTCTCCCCCCCTTCTCTCTCCCTCTCCCCGCCCTTCTCTCCCCCCCCCTTCTCTCCCCCCCCCTTCTCTCCCCACCCTCATCCTCTCCCCACTCCCCCCCCTCTCTTCTCATCTCTCCCCCCCCCTTCTCCCCCCCCCCCTTCTCTCCCCCCCCTTCTCTCCCCCCCCCTTCTCTCCCCCCCCTTCTCTCCCCCCCCTTCTCTCCCCGCCCCCCCTTCCTCTCCCCCCCCCTTCTCTCCCACCCCCCCCTTCTCCTCTCTCCCCCCCCCTTCTCCTCCCCCCCCTTCTCTCCCACCCCCTTCTCTCCCACCCCCCTCTCATCCCCCCCCCTCCTCTCTCCCCCCCCCTTCTCGTCCCCCCCTCCTCCTCTCCCCCCCCTTCTCTCCCCCCCCCTCTCTCCCCCCCCCCCTATCTCTCCCCCCTTCTCTCCCCCCTTCCCTCTCCCCCCGTCCCTCCTCCCCCCTCTCTCGCCCCCCCCCCTTCTCTCCCCCCCCCTTCTCTCTCCCCCCCCCTTCTCTCCCCCCCCCTTCTCTCCCCCCCCCTTCTCTCCCTCCCCCCACCTTCTCTCCCCCCCCCTTCTCTCCCCCCCCCTTCTCTCTCCCCCCCCCTTCTCTCCCCCCCTTCTCTCCCCCCCCCCCTTCTTTCTCTCTCCCACCCCCCCTTCTCTCCCCCCCCTTCTTCTCCCCCCCCCCTTCTCTCCCCCCCCCTTCTCTCCCTCTTCTCCCCCCCCCCTTCCTCTCCCCCCCCCTTCTCTCCCCCCCCCTTCGCTCCCTATCTCCCCCCCCCCTTCGCTCCCCCCCCCTTCTCTCCCCCCCCCTTCCACTCTCCCCCCCGTCTCTCTCCCCCCACCCTTCTCTCCCCCCCCCCCTTCTCTCCCCCCCCTTCTCTCCCCCCCCCATCTCTCTCCCCCCCCCCCTTCTCTCCCCCCCATTCTCTCCCACCCCCCTTCTCCCCTCCCCCCCCCTTCTCTCCCCCCCCCTTCTCTCCCCCCCCCTTCGTCTCCCCCTCCCCTCTTCTCTCCCCCCCCCTTCTCTCCCCCCCCCTTCTCTCCCCCCCCCCTTCTCTCCCCCCCCCCTTCTCTCCCCCCCCTTCGCTCCCCCCCCATCTCCTCTCCCCCTCCCCCCCCCTTCTCTTCCCCCCCCCTTCTCTCCTCCTCCCCCCCCCCTTCTCTCCCCCCCCCCTTCTCTCCCCCCCCTTCGCTCCCCCCCCCTTCTCTCCCCCCCCCCTTCTCTCCCCCCCCCTTCTCTCCCCCCCCTTCCTCTCCCCCCCCCCTTCTCGCCCCCCCCCTTCGCTCCCCCCCCTTCCTCTCCCCCCCTTCTCTCCCCCCCCCCTTCTCTCCTCCCTCCTCTCCCCCCCCTTCTCTTCCCCCCCTCCCCCCCCCTTCTCTCCCCCCCCCTTCTCCGCCCCCCCTTCTCTCCCCCCCCTTCTCTCTCTCGTCCCACCTTCCCCTCTCCTCTCTCCCCCCCCCCTTCTCTCCCCCCCCCTTCCTCCCCCCCCCCCTTCTCTCCCCCCCCCTTCTCTCCCCCCCCCCTTCTCTGCTCCCCCCCCCCTCTCCCTCCCCCCTCTCTCGTCTCTCTCCCCCCCCTTCTCTCCCCCCCCCTTCTCTCCCCCCCCCCTCTCTCCCCCCCCCCTTCTCTCCTCCCCCCCCCTTCTCTCCCCCCCCCTTC